TCCCCCCTGCAATCCCAGCCACCTCCCTCCCAAACCAGTACAATGACCTGCTGAAGCAGGGGGTTGGATGAGATGATCTCCAGAGGTCCCTCACAACCCCACCATGCTGGGATTCTGTGACTACTGTGTCAGGCATGAACCCTCCTGGAAAACAGCATTCTGAGCACTGCCTGACGGATCTTCTTGGTCTTCATGCTGTAAATGATGGGGTTCAGCATGGTGGGGAGGGTCAGGTAGAGATCAGCCAGCAGAACTTGGGCACGTGCGGATACGCTGCTACTGAAGAGCTGTGCATATATGGAGACAATCCCAGGGATGTAGTACAGCAGCATCACACAGATATGGCACCCGCACGTGCTGAAGGCCTTCCGGCACGATTTCTTCCCCAGGGCAGTTTTAAGGATCATCCCGTAGGACACAGCAATGAAAGCCATGTCCATCCCTACTATCAGGGAGGACATGGCCACGCTGTAGCGCCCGCTGGGTCTGGGGTCTGCGCAGGCCAGCTTGGCCACGGCCATGTGCTCGCAGTACGAGTGGGGAACCACCCGGGAATGGCAATAGGGGAGGCTTGTCACCATCCCTGTCAGGGGGACCATGAACAGGAGTGCTCTCACCACAATGGCCAGCCCTATGCGGACAATTGTTTCATGATTCAAGATGGTTTGGTACCTGAGGGGGTGACAAATAGCAATATAGCGGTCAACAGCCATGGCCAAGAGCACTCCTGACTCCTCTGATGTTGTGGAGTGAACAAGGAACATCTGAACAAAACAGGCCACGTAACCAATCTCTGTAGACTTCATCCAGAACACGCTCAGCATCTTGGGGACGATGGACGTCGCCATCACCACATCGATGACCGCCAGCATGCCCAGGAAGCAGTGGACAGGGTCACGCAGGGAGTGGTCCAGCCCAATGACAAGCAAAACTAGACCATTTCCTACCAAGGTGATGATATAACCCGAGCAGAAAAGGATGCCCAGGCAGGTAGGGGAAGCTTCAAGGCTGGGGATGCCCACCAGGATGAAAGAGGAGGAGCTGCTGTTGGGGTGGTTGAAGGGGTCAGAAGCCATGTAGGAGAATCTTGCTTTTGTGCTTAAAAAAAGGAGGCCAGTTTTGAGCCCTGAGATGTCGAGAACTAAGAGGGCTAAGGTGGAGACTCTGCCTCAGAGCAAAAGCCAGATGAAGAATCCACATGGCTATTACGCCGTGTGACGGGAGTGCGACAGCATAATGTGACCAGGTAGGGGGACTGGATCCAAAATGCTGAGTAAATGGGCTGTTAGGGCTCCAAAGTTCCCAGAAGGTGAAGGTCACATGTCAAGTTATGCCACCAGGGAAAATCAAGGGACTTCTGCAGCCCCACAGCTTGTGAAAGCTTGTTCCACTGTTGGTTGCTCACCACCACTCAGCTGGCATCCTGAAATGAGCTGCAAGAGGAGAGACAAAGGTCAGCACCCAGCTTCCCTCAAGCAGCACTTTTGCCTCAGCAGCCCTGGCTTTCCAGCAGACGAATCAGAGTCATAGAATGGTTTGGGTTGGAAAGGACCTTAAAGATGATTCAGTTCCAAGCCCCCCTACCACAGGCAGGGACACGTCCTCTGAGAGCAGGCTGCTCAAAGCCCCATCCAACCTGGTCATGAACACCTCCAGTGATGGAGCATCCCCAGCTTCCCTGGGCAACCTGGTCCAGTGCCTCACCAACCTTGTACTGAGGAACTTCCTCCTAATTTCTAACCTAAATCTCCCCTCTTCCAGTTTGAAACCATCACCCCTCATCCTGTCACAACAAGCCCTTGTAAAAATCCCTCCAAATCTGCAGGGTAAAAACTGATCTCAGAAAGTGCTCTGGGACATTAAGTGTGATCATGAAGTTGCCTTTTGCTGTTCTGTCATCATTCTGCTGTTCACCCATGAAACAAGCCTGCAAAAGTAGCTGGTAGTCAGAGGAAAAGATAAATTTTTGAGTTTTTTTTTCTGATAGAAGCAGCTTGGAGGTAACAGAAACTCCAGAGAACAGCCCTGGAGAGACCAGAAGAACAGTCTGAGTATGGTGGGCAGGATCTACACATTAATTTATGCCAAAACTTTGCTGCTGCTTCTCCCCACACAGCAGCAAAAACCAGGCAGGTGGTGACCACACCAGATCTCTACCTGTTAAAGGGAATCTCACAGAATCCTAGAATGGTTCTGGCTGGAAGAGACCTTTCAGATCATTGAGTCCAACCGTTAACCCAGCCTTGCCAGGCCACCACTAAACCACGTCCCTCTAAACTCCCTGCGTGATCATCTACCAGTACCTTTTTAGCAAGCAGGAAGCTGTGGTGGCTGCTGGTTGGTGATGCCCATGCTAGGGACACCATGGAATACAAGTCACCTGTGTCCAGCCTCACTGCAGGATCATTTAGGCTAAAATTTAACATTAGCCATGGCCAGTGTGACAGGAGTGAGGAGCAGATGCTGGATAAGTTCAGAAGAGAAATGATACTGAGACACAGCTAAGGGAACACAGCATGTGAAGTTTTGAAAGAGAGAGTAGACTTCTGCAGGCTTTGAAGCCTCCATTGGAACCAGAGCTTAGCCCCAGGGTTGGGTTTCCTGCAGGAGCTTCTGCGTGAAAAGTCTGCTCAGGACAGAAGTGCTTCATTTCTGGCTTAAATGTCTATGAATCAGGACACTCTAGAGGCTGAAAGAGGATCAAAATTCCTTTTTAATGACTGCCCACAACTGCACTGCACTTACCCTCTGTGCCCTGGTAACCAGCAGCTGCAGGAGTCAGATGTGACTCCAGATGTGGTGCTGGGGGACATGGGTCAGTGGGGACCTGGAAGTGCTGGAGGAATGGTTGGACTTGACCTGAAAGATCTTTTCCAACCCAAGTGATTCAATGGCTCTGTTTGAGCAGCCGGGTTAAGCCATGGCAGCTTTCACTGACTCACGCTCCCAGGCAGACCCACGGGCTGCAGTGACGTGGACCAGCCCCTGCTGCAGAGCAGAGCAGAGCTGTGCACCCTGGCATGGCACAAGCCCCAGTTTAACCCACCAGATGTGGGTGTCTCCATGAGGGCCCCTCCGCAGAGCGTCAAGGTATGGTTCAGCTGCCCGACACCCCCAGTGTGTCCCACTTGGCCACTACTTCACAGAATCATGCAGTTAGAGAATCAGAGTGGTTTGGGTGGGAAGGGACCTTTCAGGGTCACCTAGCCCAACCCCCCTGCAGGGAGCAGGGACATCTGCAACTAGAGCAGGTTGCTCAGAGCCCCAGCCAACCTCACCTGGAATGGTTCCAGGGATGGGGCAGTGACCACCTCCCCGTTTACACCCAGCAGGGTGCAGATCCCTGCAGACCCTGGGAGACGCTCTGCCTCTCCCACGTGGATGCCTTGGGTACTCAGGGGCAACTCAAGTGGCTGCAGACACCCAAGTAAGGGGCAGTGGAATGACACCCTGAGGGGCTGGGACCCTGCTGCAGTCAGAAATGAGCTCAAGCATGTAGCGTACAGAGGAACTGACTCCCTAAAGGTAGGGCTCTGCCTTGGGGTGAGCTGAGTTGCTCTCCAGGATCCGCTGGCCATAGGGGCTGGGTCTCTCCTGGCTGTGCTCAGTGCTTAGACACCAAGCACTCATGCACAGATGCCTGTGTGGACACCTACCTCCAAGCACTTACATATGTCTGAATCCAGAGCTGCATCCCCAGGTGCCTACATCCAAGAGTCTACTTGCTTCCAGAAGCTCTCTGTCGCAGGCAGCACTGAAGAACTCGGATTACAGGGACTTCTTGGGCTGGGAGATGGAAAAACATAGCATAGAAGAGCTCTGCAGCCCAAGCAAAGGCTTTTGATCCTGGTCTGCTGAGGAGGAGAAGTGCAGGTACCTGTCTCACCTACTGGACTCTAACCTGGGAGGCTGCAGCAGCACATCCCTGCATCTCTCTCAGTGCAGCCACGCTGGGGTATTAACCCATCCTCTGGAACCCCTTGAGGGACAGTAGAGATAGTGTTGTCTGTCCTGTGAGGAAATGGAAATTTTCAGGACTTCTTCAGCTTCTATCATTAGTTCTCCCTCGCAGTGTCACGCCATTAGGGGCTCGGAGGCACGGTGGCCTCCAGAGTCTGCCTGGTGCCAATGAGACCAGTGCACAACATTTAAACTAAGTGCCTCTGAAGTGGAGAAAAATCCCTCTGGTTTTGCCAGAGACAGCAAGATGGTTTGGAAACTCCGAGTTCCCACTCTTGTCTCCACTCAGAACCATTACAGCAAACTTTTCTGTCTCCCTGAAAGGAGTTTGTGCAAGAATTGACAAAGGGAGGTGGGATCTCACAGCAGGTCTGGAGCCTTGGCTGCATCAGAGTATGTAAGAGGGGAACAAACCACTAGAAATTCAACAAGCACAAATATCAAGTCCCGCATCTGGTAAGGAATAACCCCATGGACCAGCACAGCTGAGGGAGCAGCTCCAAGGAGAAGGACCTGGGGGTGCTGGGGAACACAGGATCACCATGAACCACTAATGTGCTCTTGTACTCAAGAAGGCAAATGGTCTCCTGAGGTGTATGAGGAGTGTGACCAGCAGGTTGAGGGAGGTTCTCCTGCCCCTCTGCTCTGCCCCAATGAGGCCACCTCAGGAGTCTTGGGTCCAGTTCTGGGCTCCCCAGATCCAGAGAGTCCAGGAAATACTAGTGAGAAAACAGTAGAAACTCCAAGCTGCTGAGGGGCCTGGAGCATCTCTGTGCCAGGACAGGCTGAGAGCCCTGGGGGCAGAAGAGAAGCGTCAGAGGGGATCTGATCAATGCTGAGCAAGAGCTAAAGGGGCAAGAGGCTGGGGCCAGACTCTTGTCAGTGGTGCCCAGTGACAGGACAAGGGGCAACGGGCACCAACTGGAACCCAGGAGGTTCCACCTGAGCAGGAGGAGAAACTTCTTTGGTGTGAGGGTGGCCGAGCCTGGAGCAGCCTGCCCAGAGAGGCTGTGGAGTCTCCTGCTCTGGAGAGATCCCAAACCCACCTGGATGTGATCCTGGGCACCCTGCTGTGGGTGACCTGCTGGAGCAAGTGGGTTGGAGGAGATGATCCCCAGAGGTTCCTTCCAACCCCACTACACTGGGATTCTGTGAACAATGCCTACTGATCAGGTATAAGGAAGCCACACATGATGGCCAACCTCCAGCAGGTGCAAGTCCTGCCATTAAGGATCATTAGCAGGATGCCAGCTCATTAAGGAAAAAGGCCCTAACCCTCCCTAATTTTTCATCTTATTTTCCAATAAAAGATTCTGGAGGAAATGCAGGTGAGAAGCTATGTGCAAGCAGAGGGGCAGTGCAAGAGGAACACCATTGTGCAGTGGAGCTCCTCCTTTATTTCTCTGCCAGCCATATGAAGTTCCTCTACCTGGTAGAAGACAAGCAGGTGCATTTATTGTACTGCCATGACAGGGCTGTGCCAGGACCAAACCTGGCACTGAGGTGAGAGTTGGGATTGATCTGGAGAGCTTCCCTCTGTCCCACTGAGACTCTCTTCTGCCTTGTCCCATCTCTTCCATCTCCCCCCCTCAGTGCTTCCTGCCCCCCTAAAATCTTAGTGGATTGTTCAGCTCAGGGGCTTATCAGTGAGGAACCTCTGGGGTGGGGAAGGAGATGACAACGTGGTCTTTTGTGACATACATTGTTGTCATTCCCAGAGATTTTGTCCAGAAGAGGAGGCTTCCTCAAGCAGGGATTTTGTTCTGCAGTACCTGCCCCAAAACCACTTTCTCCTCAGTCCCTGTGCCCTCTTCCCTCAGCACTTTCCCAGAGGAATGTGTGTGTAACACTCAGTGTGTGAGGTGGAGAAGCAGCCTCAAACGCACCTCTGATTACTTGTGTGGTCCCCATGTGAGCTTTCTTGTCCCATTAACTTCACTCCAACCAACCAGCTGCCCTAGAGAGCCTGGGAGGACATCCAGGACTGCCTGCCACCATGCATGATCTAGAGGGCACAGCCCTGATGTAGGACGGGCGTATCAGCCCTGACCTTTGGGACACTTCAGTCTGTCAGAGCTTCTATCTCAAAGTGGTCCACAAGAGCTACAGGTGAGAT